TCTAAATCCTTATTTAAGGAAACAAAACAGCAGCCAGAGAGCTTGCTAGAATATACGTAACCATTTTATATGCTGTAATTGCAGAGTACAAAATTATATCCCACAGAATGTTGTAATAAATGCAAAATGCTAAGTATTTAGCGTGATACGCTTTAGGTCTGTGTGAACTTTCACTGAACTATGCTCTATAAAACGCATGCATTTTATAAAAAGTGTTCTAATTAGATTCAGAAATAATTTCTCGGAAGATTGTAAGTTGGACCAATCTACTGGTTGGACGGTACCTTCGATTGACCGCTCATTGGCAGAAAGTGTGAAGCGTCATATCGTAAATTTAATATGTTCGTATTTGTCATTTTGCGTACAAGTACCTAAACGTTTGTACGTAAGAAATAGAAAATAAAAATTCGAAATTGATTTTATAATTATTCAAAATATTTAATAATTTTAATAATCAATGTTTTCATTAAAATATCATACAACAAATCTAAATTGTAAAAGCATTCATAATAAAATTTAATAACCAATGGTATTAAAATCATATAAATGGTAATGATATGCGTGATATTTGCGAGATATATTAAAATTGTTGAAATGACGCCAACGCTATTAATTTTGACAAAAACTTTGACCGAGTCAAGTGTAGCGCGTACAAATCGGAGCAGCCTAAATGAGCTTGCTTGTGCTAGTCGTAAATTACCCTATTTTAATGTAAATTACTGTAACACTTCACGAGCACGTACAAATCGAAGGGTATTGGAAGCGAGGAATGTGCGTGCACGATATTTGAAATATCACGCAAACGACATTGCGTTGTAGTTGGCAGTTGGATAGATAATTGAGCGCTGAGAATTTCCGATACAACATCACGATATGAAAGTGTTTAATGACGTTGGTTCTCATTCGTGTGAAATCGCGTTTTTAATTTTCTCCCCGATAATATCAGTTCTAGCAATATGTCCTTTTTACTCTACCAATGAACAGAAAATTATGTATCTTGGAACGTAATTATAACTGAACAGAAACCTTCAACAGACGAAAACGAGAATATTTTCAATAGATGGAGAATAATTTGAAATAGTCCACTGAAATTCTACACTATGTACAAAAATAAAAAAGAATGGTAGAGATCGAACGTTCAATTGATTCGGTGATATTTAAGAGTTTTATTTGAAGATCTCGGTTATTCCTCGAATAGAAATAAAAAACTTGTTTAAATCTCGATTACTTCGTTGTTAAGAATTAATAGGTACCTCGTTATACGAACGAGAGAGAGAGAGAGAAAGAGAGAGGGCTTCGTATAAAAGTGCGGTCGATCGTAAAAAGACAAGATCGGTGTTACTCGGTTCCGTGATCGATCGGTACATTCGCGGAGCACGAGTGACGCGGTTTCGCAATCGCAATTCAGAATACACGGTGACAATCAATAAATTATCCCCGATGCCAGGGTATGACGTACGTATATTCGCTTCGTTAACTGTCGGATGCGCGCAGCACTTTCCCACAGTGTTACACGGAATATGCGTAGATCTCACGTTGCCCTCATCAAATGTATCCGAGGGTTGAACAGTGGTATCGACAAACGGAAATCGATCCTCCGGAATAATCAGCCGAGTGAGACGTCGGATCGCGGAGAAAGGCGCAATGCAAAATACAAAATTACAAAAATATACTCGTGGCGCCGGTAACGACCGGACCCGTGCCGTGCGGGTTTCCATTGTGTATCATTTACAATATGAACAGTATGTACGGATAGGGTGCAATTGAGAGGAGGGAAAAGAGAGAGATAGAGAGAGAGAGAAAGAGAGAGAAAGAGAGAGAGAGGAGTGTATGTACATAGCACGGCACGGAGGTCGATCTAGGCGAGCCGCGACTTTGCTAGGCCGCTTAAAATACTGTTCTCCGATGTTCTCCGATCGTGCGAGCTCGATTTTTCACGTACGCTCGTCGAAAGCGCGATTTCCTTCTCATTTGCACTTTGCACGACACGTTCGGGCTGCTGAGCGGAATAGCGATACAAGTCTACGTGTAAGAAAAGACAAACACAATAGAACGACGCGTTCCGCGTGCATTGATTCGACGATTTGTGAAGAAACGGAGATAGAAAAATCGTCGTGGTTGGAAAAATCGGTTGGCACTGGCCTACAAGAAACCGGAAACGTTTCTCAGGCTGTCGCGGCGCATCGCGACTGAACATTTTTCTCGCACGAGAGTTAGACGGTAACACTCCGCAATAAGTCGTCGAGCTCGTCGATTGCGGTGGCACGGCGAAAAATCGAGGCGACACGACCGCGCCGCTATTTTCTCCGCCGCGTCTCACCCGGACGGCTGTCAAGTTTGCACTCGAGTCGCAGTCATCGAGCGCTTAATACTGTTTGGCGTAATCCGGGCACGAAAAGCTCGGTTTTCCGGGTGGTTCTTGGCGACCGTCGCACTTTACGCGTCCCGCGAATCGATCTCAAAATCAGACAATCATCAGGGTGCGAAATAAAGGGAACAACTTTAAAAGAAAGAAAAAGATGATAAGAAAAAAGAATTGAAATAATCTACTCTGCGGAATAAAATAAAATATTAAATTATATATTCGTATCGCGATCCGAATAACATGTAGCATCCTAAAAGGAGAGACTTCGATCAATAAAATCACAAGGTGCAAGATAACAGACGTTATTATAAACACTAATTAATTTGAAGGAAATAAAATGACATAAAAATAAATAGCCAGTAAACACTAGGTAAAATCAATGTTATAATTTCATACTCAACAACTGTTGCAGTAAATTCACTCAACGTAACTGTTATGTATCATATTACATTTATATTGTTGAATATCAATATAACATTAGTATTATATTACCGTTAATTGACGTTTACTGGGTAAGTATATTTTAATAAAAATAATTCAAATATGCGGATGTAACAAAAAGAAAATATATTGTTTAATATTTTTGACAAAAAGATTTATAATTGAGTAGCTCTCTCTAATAGACCGACTTATCGTTAGCAAGGATATAATTGAATAGATCCAGTAGAAACTCACGTGTGGAGGGTTAAGGAAATCTTTATGTTAATCTGCGTTCGCGCGTGAGAGATACCGAGGCATTTAAAAAATCGAAACTTCTCGTGCGATTGCGTAAGAGAAGAAGCGCTGAGTTTACAGTCGACATAAAGTGTCTCTTCCCGATATATCGCGATTTCCCATGATGCATTTATGGAGCAAGATCCGTCGTGTTTTACCTGAACAGCGCTGATCCGGGTCGCCGCCAAGTTCGGGAGACAAGGGTATGGGATTGATCGAGAGCCCTTTGAATTCAAGTGTCGTTCAATGGTAAGGCAAGTTCGCGTGGGACTCATTCGAAATACGTTTCCTCGTTCGCTTGGCGCTTCGCCGCGGAAACCGCGGCCGCGCGCAATCGCAACAAGTTGTATACAATCGCGTCCGAAATCCCTGCTAAAGCTGGAGAAAGGGAAACGTTAATCTTCCCAGATAAAAAAGGTAACAAAAGCATAAAGAGTGGATGGCTCGCTGGCGATAAATTCGCAGTTAAAGAACGTTCTCTACCTACCCTTACCTGCGGTGAAATATCGCCGACTGGCGTGGCGGCTCCTCACGTGTGTTTGTGTGTGTGTTGGTGGGTGTGTGTGTGTGTGTGTGTGTGGTAAGCGAACGTAAAGCACTCCTTATCACGATGTATCGTAGCCAGATGTTTCGCGCGAGAACGGAACTGGCGAATCGACAGCGTTAACCACCACTGCCGAGGATAATGCGAGCACCGCAAAGAGGGACCACTTGTATGTACTCGTATCACGGAAATCGCATCGCGATAAGAGGAGAAAAAAAAGAGAAGCGAGCTCGAATGAGCTCGAAGAGATATTAACTTCAACGCGAAAGAAAAACGCATTGCCGGCTGTGCGCGTGACAAGCCCCGCGCTTCGACGAGTCACATGTTTTCCAGTTTCAAGGAGAGACGATTTATCGACCATCAGGTATTCGGGACCATAAGCCCGTACGCGTTCGCTGGTTGATGATATATAGCTCGCATGGACGTTCTACTTTACGATATATTGTCGTCAACGGTAGAATTGTAGCGATCGAACGTATCTCAAAATGGGGACGCGATGAATTCTGTTCCTCACTCCGCGTTTACGACACGTCGTAATATCGTCATTTTTTAAAAATCATGTCCATCTAACAATTCGTTCGCGTTACAATCGGCGCTGTCCTTTTGATTACTTGCAATCGTACGAGAGTTGGTCAATAATTTTTACGCGCGCATTCGGATATTATGCGTGATATGCCGCAGTTGTTAACAATCGAGCTGTAATTGTTGCTAATTGGAACGCACCGCGCGTAACGTTCAATTAATTTGAAGTCCCGAAGTGAATTTGGATCGGTAGAGGAGTGTATATATACATTATAAACTGGTCTTTTTGGTGTTATCCATGGTTAGCACGATGGTAGCGGGGACCAATCGGGCAGTGACATCAATTGGTCTCGTTTACAAAATACGCTGTTATTTTCGACCACTCGGTCATTCTGACGATAATGAATCACACGAATTTCAAAGGTCACGGTATTCGTGCAATTAACATCGGTAGAAATAATCGTCATATATTTATACTGTACACCATTTTATCGTACGTTGCGATACGATCTGCTCTTACAATTTCAAACACGCGTCGAGTGTCATCGCAGCACTTACGTCTAATATAGATTTACAATTGCTGTAATAGATTATTACCCATTTAACGTAATACAAAGTGGCACCGTTACATAAGTAGGGCATTCCGTATTGCATACAGCACGGAGAATTCTAGAAACGTTGCAGCATTATTACAACGTTCCAGCAATATTGTAGTATCATTTCAATATTGCTGCAATGTTGCTGGAATGCTCTGAGTAGCGATCATGTAAAATTTTCCGTAGAGCGGAAATGTGAAAAGTGAAGAATTTCTCCATTATTTTTAATGATAAAAATTTACACTTTTCACGTTTCCGTCTTAGGGAAAGAGGTACATGCTATCCCGTGCTATAAGGGACTGACATCAACGATATTTGCGAGATACTGATAATCAATTTGCCGCTACAATGATTGCAGCGATCATACGCGATATATCTGTCGATGATTTAAGATGCAAACATCGCTGAGACGAGAATACGGGATACCTCTACGGGTACGAACACGATCTAACGATGCGCTTACAGAAGGGGAAGGGACACAGATCATTACGCCATTTTCGGCGTAAGCTTAGCACGAGAGTTCGTGTTGCTTGCGAATGCAACGAGTCTTGCTACGTTTCGATACAACGTCAGAATTTCAATGTCAAAAAAGAAAACGCGATAGGCGTATAACAGCTAGATAAATTCTTAACAATGTTAAATTCTCATCATGTTTACCGCATAAATGTAACATGTGCAAAACGTTGCCTTGCCTGAACCTTAACACCTTCGTCTATACACGCGAATCGCGCCGTTACGATCGCGATTTCCCACTGCGGGGTAACACGAATAGAAGACGAATTCACTGGTATTGCTCTTCGCGGAATGACTCGCGTTCAGCACTTTCAGTTGCTTCGTGCTCCACGTAAATTTCACACAAAACGCGAATAGGTTTCGCCTTATCAACTAATACCGGTAGCAATGTCCGCAACCTTATTCACATCATCACGTTATCACCTCACGGCGCGTGGCGAGCGTCAAATAAAACGCTAAAGGAACCTGATTAAAAAAAGGGGGGGAAAAAAGAGAAAAAGATACATAGGAGGAGACGAGGGACAAGAAAGGATCCATTGAACGATCGGATCGTTTGGTAAATAATTCATGTAGATCACGGTTTGCTGATACTCCGGATGCTCCGTAACGTTCAATAAATAACTTACGAGATAACTTACAGGAAAGGAAAGTTGAGGAAGGGGAATATAGGTGACACGAATGTTCGACCGGCGTGTCCTCCTCTAAAACATCGTCAGCGATTTCGGCGAACCACCCGTGTCCATCCGTAGATCCTAAAGTCTCCCAGAAGAGTCTCCTCGTTTTGTTCATTCTCCAGACTGCAACTCGCTGAACGGAGTGGAAGTCTCGCACGTGCGAGACACGCGTCTCGAAAGGCACTACCGGTTTATTGTAAGTGTGGTCACGCACGCCCCATCGTGGCGTACTACGACCAGTCGCTCTCATCGCGGACGATGCCCATGATATCATACTTCCGTGCCATCCTCACCCTCATCCTCGTACAACGTCGGTCCATTGGCGGATTTCTTCTTGGGTTTTGGCGGCGGTCTCGGCGGCACCTTTCTGCCGAGAGTGTTGCTGGCGGCTGCCTGTTGCTGCTGTTGCTGTTGCGTGAGTAACAGATGGCCGCCATCCATGCTTTCGTCCGTCAACTTGAGCGGCCATTCGGCTGCACCTTCCGGCGCCACTCTGTCCAACGGATTACTCGTCAATATATT